ATTAATCACAAAAAACACACACCAAAAGTTATTAAACAAATCAAACTTTTCAATTAATAGCAAAATTCTTTTTTCTACAAGTAAAACGGAATGTACCTAGGTACATAATGTTTTTTTTTTAGTATCTTATTGTATTTCCAAATTGCGTGCATAAATCATAAGCTAGGTTAGCTAGGTTACGTTTGTAAATTTTCCACGACAGAGCCAAGTCGCACGAGTAGGTTTTTTGCTACAGAGCCTAGTTACGCACGGGATTAATCAAACAAGATCAGATTTCAAAACTTGGTCAATATTTTACTTAACACAATTAAAAAAATAAATAAATTTGTTCAAATTAAAATGTTATTGGTATAAGATATATATATACATAAAATAAATAAATATGTATTGTTATATAACGAAAAAACCGAAGGTATTTTTACATAATAATTAAAAATGTTCAATTTTTTTAGTCAACAAATTGTTCAAAGTTCAATAAATCACAGTAAAAAATTGTTGTGTGCTATAAGAGGTAAGTGTTTTGATCAAAATTTACGATAAAAAAATTCATTTCCCTTTTATTTATAAAAATTGGAAAATGCAATTTTAAATACTTCTGTAGTTTTTCTGTTAGTAAAAAAAATAGTAGCGGATTATAATCGTCATTTTTAGCTCCTTGAATAATGAATAGGAAACAAAATAGCTTAGGACAACTCTTAAACATACCATCAACATAATATAAAGCATTAATACATCAGATTAAGTTAAATATTTAAAGTAAATGTATTGAAAACGCTAAAATATTTTTTCTTTTTTTTTAAAAAAAATTTTAAAAAACCCAAAGTATTTGTATTTCATGACATTTTATTAACTACTGACTAATTAAATCAAATTTTACAAAATAAAAGAAAGACAGCCAATTAACTACTACAATTAACGGTGTAATGTCAACATTACAAGACAAAAGGTCTGATGAGTTTTTAACTATTGTGGGATGATATCACTAATTTTTCAAAACAGTTTGGTATTTATTTGAATAATGAAGAGTACTCAAAAAAAGGGAAACCAGTTGAGAATCAATGATTAAAAATATTCTAGTTATTTCAACAATTGGAACTTGTGAGGAAAATTTAGCAATTGAAAAACATTGGAGAGCATATATATTACACAATATATGTATATAACACAATGATTGATAATATAACTAATAGAATAAAAACTACAATTTTTGATAAAAGCCAAAAATTGGTAAAATCAATTGATAACTTTTTCATACTTGATTTTGATGGTTCATTAGAATCCATTGAATATTATTATAGTCATAATTTAAAAATTAAAAGGTTGTTTTAAAAGCTGAAATGATGATTATCAATAATATTATAAATCATCCCCAAATCAAAAATTGGACTATTCAAGATTAGAATTGTATCCTAATTTTCACAATATTGCCCCCCCCCCCCCCCCAAAAAAAAAAA